TCCTCCTCCTCCTCCTCCTCCTCCTCCTCCTTCTCCTCCTCCTGCCATCAACCGTCACCACCGCCATAATCGCCAACATGATCATCATCAGCCTCATCATCGCAAGATCCAGACCTCCTGATGACGATACTAGTGGCGAGGATGGCAAGAAAGGCAATGATGGTGATGACGACGGTAATTGAGATGATTTCGATGATGACGCTGATGACGACAACGACGGCGATGGTGATGATGAAGAGGAACATTATGATGATTATGATGATGATGGTGATTATGGTGGCGATGATGATGATGATGATGATGATGATGATGATGATGATAAATGAAATGAGGATGATGCTGATGATGATGATGATGATGATGATGCTGATGCTGATGCTGATGCTGATGCTGATGATGATGCTGATGACGATAATGGTGATGGTGATTATGATGATGATGATGACGAGGAGGATGAGGATGATGATGATGATGATGATCATCATCATGATGGTGACGATGACGATGATGATGCCGATGATGATGACGACGAAAAAATGAGGATGAGGATGCGAATGGTGGTGATGGTGATGGTGATGCTAGCTGTGCTGATGATGACAGCATGACATTGATGGTGATGGTGCTGGTGGTGCTGCTCATGACAATCACGAGGGCGATGACAACGATCGGTGGACCCGTGGACTGGTGGTCTGATGGACGGGTGGTTCGGTGGACCCAGTGCAACGGCGGATCGGTGGACCAGCGGACGGAAATACCCGTGGACCAGTGCACCAGCGGAAACGCGGACTGGCGGACCGGTGGACCGTTGGACCAGTGGACCCGTGGGCTGGTGGACTGGTGGACCAATGGACTGGTGGACCAGTGGACTGGTGGACCGGTGGACCAGTGGACAGGTGGACCAGTAGACTGGCGGACCCGTGGACCGTTGGACTGGTGGGATCGGTGAGACCAGTGGTCCAGTGAACCGATGGTGCCAGAACATTCCTGAGACTTCAACACCGCGAACCAAGGTAACTGTTGCACCATTAGAATCCTGAATCATTCCTAAAAACATTTCTGGTACGCTGATCATGGGAATCCGTGAAACTGTTGCAAACTTGCGCAAAAAACAAACAACAACAAAAACAAAAAAACAAAATGCGCGCGTCACGAAAGCGAGAGCACCGTTTTGAAAAAGAACCACCCTCGATATGTGAAACTCTTGTAATGTTTTTTTGGTTAAAAAATGAACGCGACGATATGGCGAGAGCCACATTTGAAAATCAGTTGCCCGTGAAACTCTTGCAAATGTTAAAAACGAATGTGCGCGGCGCCAAGGCGAAAGGCACATTTTGAAAACGACCCGCCCTCCATCTGTGAAACTGTTGTCATGTCTTACGCTTCAGGGTCGCGAATGGCGAAAAACTCTCCGGCGAAACGTTCGGACCACCCTAGCAACTGGCCACGGGGCACGACAGGGAGAAGTGATCTATCATAAGGAGGAAAAGGAATGGAGGAGGACGAGGAGGAGGAGGAGGAGAAGGGAAAGGAGAAGAAGCAGGGGGAGGAAGAAGAGCAGGAGGAGGAGGAGGGGGAGGAGGAGGAGGAAGACAGTGAAGAGGAGGAGGAAGAGGAGGAGGAGGAGCAAGAGGAGGAGCAGGGGGAGGAGAAGGAGCAGGGAGAGGAAGAGGAGGAGGAGGAGGAAGACCACCGGGTCTGGCGAGGAATCTCCCCCCGCAGCGGGCCCGCGCCAACCGCGCCGTGGGGCTGCAAATAAAAATGCCTCGGGGCGCAGCGGCGGCGGCGGGGCTCGGCGCGCAGCAGCGACACAGTCAAGACTGATGCTGAGGACCTCATCCTCCTCCTCCTCCTCTACCCTCCTCCTCACTCCCCTCCTCTCCTCCTCCTCCCTCCTCCTCCTCCTCCTCCTCCTCCTCCCTCCTCCGCCTCCTCCTCGGCCTCCTCCTCTTCCTCCTCCTCCTCCTCCTCCTCCTCCTCCTCCTCCTCCTCCTCCTCCTCCTCCTCCTCCTCATCCTCCTTCCAGCTCCGCGCTCCCCCCCTCCCAAGGATGCAAGCCCCTTGGAGATGGCCAGCACGACATGCACGAGAGGTGCCTGGAGAGCAACAGCAGCAGGGGGGGGCAGAGGACAGAAGGAGGAAAAACGACACAACAGAAACTTTCGGCGCTCCGCGCGGGTTTCTGAGATCCGCGCTGGGCCCCCAGGGGGCCCATCGCAAATTTTCTCGAGAGGAGGAAACGACTGGGAGGCCTGGAAATGGGCACCAACACCAAGACAGAGGGCTGCCTCCACAGGGGGGAGGTGATCCTAGATTTCGGTGTTGGTGGTAATATTTCGGCCACCTTGGAAGCCAGAATACTACCACCATCACCGAGATCGGGATCTTCTTCCCTCGGTGGAGGAACACCGCCGATCTTGGTGTTGGTGTCAGCCTCTAGGCCTGCGAACGACACCCGGGGACCAGGACGAGCCCCTTGGACACCGGTGTTGACGCTCGTGCG